CCCTCGCCCGCCCCCACGTGCGGAGCCCCTTCCCCCGCCACGTCCGCCGCGCCCCCCTCTCATGGTGCGTTGGTACTCATCCGCTCGCCGCTGCTCGGCACAGGAAATAAACATGCCACGCGTGGAATCGTACAGGGCAGGGAGGTTGTGACGGTGACATCATATTCCCATGTGACCCCGGTTGGGTCGTCTAGCTAGTAGAAGTGGAGGATAAAGGCCAGAGGGGCAGACGACAGAGTCCAATGACGGGAGAAAAACAACAACAACAACAACAACAACAATTTCCACCGTGAATTCGTTGAGTCGACAGCAACAAGGAGGTAAGAGACCGGCCTCTAGCAGCAAACCTCGAAAAACCTATAAAATAGCAGCAGGTTGTGGGTTCGGAACCATCTGGGGAGTGAATCCTTGGCAATTCTGCGGTGGATAAAACGAAAAAATCGTGATAATTCACATACATAACGACAAGAGGGAAAGAGGGTGTGTAATATGGTCTCTTTTGCGGCGCTTGGAAATTCAAATGTCGGCCACGACAAATCAGTTGTGTACCGCCAATCAAGAGTGTGGACAACGTCTTGTGTTTCGGGGCGTTCTTCTACACCAAACGATCCGCGATGATACAAATACTGCTGCTGCGCACGTCCAATGAAATTAAGCTGCAGCGTACCTTCAGGGGCGGGAGCTCGGTGCAGATGTCGAGCCAGTCTTCTCTCTCACAGACGTCCCTGACTCCTTCCATGTGCTCTTCTGGAACGTCGAATACACAAGCCAGTCCATCTTCTGACAGCTGTTGGTATTCCAGAGGGCACACGCAGCGCGATGAATACAGGAAGGGAATAAAGAGACAATGCCTCACATGGATACAACAAAAGGGATCCCTACCACCCCTCTTGCTTAGCTCCATACCTTCTTGAGACCAGAGTCGGCGCAACCAAACCCAGGGATGCCGAAGACGCAGACCATAGCCCAAAAACACGACGGCAAATTCTCAGCAATTGACTCCAACACAATATTGAAATCGGAGCGAATTACGGAGCGCAAGTGTTTTCGAACAGCGAGCGAGGTGCAAGAAGAAGCACGTCGACGAGCACGACGCACTTAACAAGACGCGCCCACCCCATAGCCCTCCACGGAATACGAAAAAAAAATCATGTTTTCTGGCTTGTTCTTCCACCAAGATTTCGCACCGCGAGGCGATATATATACAGACGATGCCGTCACGTCCCTTTTCACGGTCTCCCTGTCTGGAAACCCGGCGACTAGACGGCTGCCTCTTGTTCGTACTATGTCCCCGCCAGGGTCAGATCGTAAGGAAGATTGGACGAAAAACAGAAACACAAAAAGGGAACTGAACCACAACCAAGAAGGACGAAAAAACAACACCCGAACGCCCCACACAGAGAACCAAAGGCTACACCAACGCAAGAGCGATGCGCGGGCCATAACGAGACAAAAAAAAAAAAGTAGCGTGTCTAGAGGAGAGGGGGTCAAGGGACAAAACGGCGAGGGNAGCGGTAAGATCGTTGACCACGCGTCCTCGAGAGGACGGAGCGTTGTTGCCACAGAAGCGATCACCGATGGCCAATCGTTCCTTTCTACTTTGCCAAAGGTGGCTCAAAAATGTCTTCCCTAGTCTGTCTATCCTAACGATATCCCTTCCTGCCTTTTCAAATCACCTCCTATGCCCCAGTACAGCTACCGTCCTTTCCTTTGTATCCCATGCCTGAAACATCTCCCTGTACGTCCTATCTATTTTTCCCAGCTCAGTCACGTACACTTCCCTCTCCTTCTTGTACCACGGACATTCCGCGACTACATGAACACGGTCTTCGCATTGGAAGCCGCAATCACATTTGAACTCGTCGTCTTCCTCGTCTACCGTCCTATGTCTTCGTCGACGTTCTCGAAGGCCTATCTCCCCGGTCCTGAGTTTGACCTTAAGCTTTGTTCCTGCATCCATTGGTGT